CAAATAGATAACAAAGGTTATCAAAATTCAAAAACAACAAGTACAAGCCAAATCAAGAAACAACAGCATCATCAAACAAGGATATCAAAAGCGAGAAATATCAATGATGGTAAAAAAAATCCAAGAAAATACGAAATCAGCAGTCGTATCAAACAGGTAATCAAGTATTATTCCTATAGACTCTCCCTTGTCTTTATAGCTTTCTTTCCCTTTCAAAATTTCAAGGATGTGCAAATTAATGCCTGCAGCTGCAGTCATCCTCATGCGCCAGGCCTAATCAGGTCAATTATGTCGGAGCTAAATGGGCTCTTTGAATCACACAAGACATATAAAGTATACGATGTCGGTCGTTTCCAAATTTAAAGAAATAATCCAGGTCTACAGCCTACACTTGGTGAGCACAGTGGAAATATACGGCATAAGGGCTGCCAACAAAGTAAAATGAAGCCAGCGTGAAGCCAGGCCGCAATCCCAACATGCTGCAACAAACATTAGAACCTACAAACTCAGCAAACCCAATTATTCAGCAGGTCTTCTGGAGGTGGGGCATGGATCACAAGGATCAGAAAATTCAGGTCCACGGGAAGAGTGCCAAGGAACAGCGAAAAAGATAAAGTAAAAGGTCAAATAAAATAAAATGCTAACAATCTACTTGCCAAAACTGTGTGCCTTTCGAATGGATGACTGATTTCAATGGGGTCTTTTTAAGCTGTTTGTTGAAGTTCTACATACTATGCAACCCTTTGCGCCAACACGGCAATATATAAATAAACATCCCGTGTTTGTACCTAACATCCCTGCCATGCATACTTTGCCTTGAAACGGCATTGCCTTGAAACAGCATTGACTTTCCAAAGTGCACACCTACTTCGTGTCTTAATGAAAAACACAATCGAATCGCATCTGTTCATCGCATCTGTTCCAAGCATCAACTCATCTCCGCATCTCCACGGCCCCCGAGTGCCTTTGTTGAAGGGCCAACAAACGTGCCTAAGGCAGGTGCCCATCGTTGGTGTAGGTCTAATTCTTTTTGGGGACAGAAAACATAACAAAGTGCCAATCCAATGCCAGTTCTTATCGCACCCATGGAGGTAGCAGCTCCCAGCAGTTGGTGGTTTGGGGGCCTGTCATGATATCATACCAAAGCCAAGGCTATCGGGCTGCTATGGGGCTTGTTTGTAATGCTAGCTGTATCAGTTCAAGAAGATATCAAATTCGGTTGATAACAAAATACCCTGTTTTCCCGGATTTTTGGTAGTTTTCTTCTGCATCTGCGTGTTAAGAATGCTTCTGGCCTCTGCCAAAACTTGCATATGTCATGGGAATGGTAAAGAAATATCTCCTCCAAACCGCCAAAATATCCAGGCACTCTGCCCATTTTTGCAACTTTCCGATAATTGTAGTGGACCAACAAAATCAGGATACGCATGAAATCTAATGGTTGATCATCATTTTCCCTATTGGCATAGCTAGTGTTGGACGGCAAATCCCCGTGCAGTGCGTCACCTTGGCAGAAGCCAACTCAGCCTGAGCCTGCTTAGCTTTCTCCTGTGCCATGGGGCACTAAGGCGGGGTAGTGTTAAGATGTCAGACCAGCAACCGCTAGCATCGACTGCACCAGAGTGCCAGATCCAAGAAACTAAGGGCAAAACTTTCTCGAAATTCAACGCACTCAATTCATTAATCGACATTTTTTGGTAAGAGTTGGCGCTTTCTTTTGAATGGCGTCGTAAAGACAGTCACAGGGAAGCTTGCACAACGACACACACACCTCTGCAAGGCGTACATCTTCACCTGAACCAAGAAGCTGAACCGGGCAACAAAAACTTTGAACAGATTCAAATTGATTCAAAGATGGAATGCTTTGTGAAATCCCAGGTTTTTGCCAAGGAGCGCAACGCCTGTTCCGATGGCCTGCCACGCTGTGGAGAATGCGAGATCTTTTCGTTGTCGTTTTAGCGTTGGGGGTTTGTATGAATACATGTGGATTGTGCGCATAAATATGTGTTCCGAAAATTATCTATGGATGTATGCCTTCTGATGTCATGGATGCCTTTCCCTCACTGGCATGACCATAGAATCTGACACCGAAACAACACTTACTCTAAAACAGGTGATCTGATCCCTCCAAGCCATGCCGCAACTGCCCTCAATAAGGTGCGATACTCTCAGATGCCAAGGTTTCCAAATGCCAGAGCGGTGCCTTCGTGGTGTCACCGACCGCCGTGCTGGGCGCCCAGGAGTGAGACTTCTGGGCCTCAAAAGATCGAATCAGTCGCCGGCGGGGCCGTTTCATACAGCCATCGATAAGCCATCAATCCGTCATTTCTGTGGTGCCGTTTCATCGGGTTCCTCAGGTTGGGCCAGTTTTGACAACACTCAAACAGTCCCTGTGCAAACGTTGGTTCATCAACCCCTGTCCGCAAGCTTCCTTCTCTCTGTTGTTGAAGCATTGATGCCGTGTCTTCAAACAGTACCATTTTCTTATTTAGTCTATCTGTCAAAGTAAATGTACTTGTTTGGCAATGTAGCTTGCCCACCTGATTAGCAGTCAGCCTGCATAGTTGCCTCTGCCCTGACAATGATACTTGGCTGGTAGGGTTTGTGCTAAACTAGGGACCCTGCATCCACTTCATGCCATGAAAAAATGGTTAAAGTTGATGACAACCCACTGGATTCCGGGATTTTACCAAACTTTTGAAACAGATCAATTCACATTCTTCTCAGTTGGCAGCGGGGGTTGAATGACCATGGGCCATACCGGGTCCACAGCCTTTCCTCGTTAGACTTGTCATTTGATGTCATTTGCAAGAGCAGGGTCCATCTTTTGAAACAAAATGAATAGAGCTGCAAGACATCTTTCCTTGCAACATATGAACAGGGGTACAGTACATCCCATTATTCTAAAAAAAATGGGGTATGACTTGAAAGTCATCTGCATAATGAGGCAAGCAAACTAAGTAAACAAACAACTTTGGTCATCTCAATTGCGAACCCATGGTGTTTCAGCCCAGGAGCGGAGTGAGGCTCCGCTGGCGGGAATCTGGGCGAGTGGCGCCTCGGTGTAGGCTTGAGAGGGGCAAAGCTTGAAATTATCAAATATTAACTGCCACCAGAATGATTAGATATCATCTGACATTCAGTAGTAAATAAATAAGTCACAACTAATTTTCTTTCTGTAGTGTTTTTTGCATACGCACGTCTGTTTGCTATTGTTGTGGTTGATGGCGGGACTTTTGTCCAATTTGCAAAAAAACGGCACGGTGTCGGAACTGCACCTGCCTCAACATCCTCGAAGGTCTCAGAAGCTCTGGTGGGGTATTCGCATAACTGGTGAGGCCAGCTGCCGACTTGGTCCATCTACCTGTTCTTATCTATACGATAACCTTGACCCTGTCTCAGGCTCCCCGACCTTCAGGGTTTGCAGACCTGGGGGTCTTCCAAACAAGGAATCACTGGATCAAAGCCATGGAAGATAAGTGATGCGAGACGGAAGCAGCTTGTTCCGAAGTACCCAGCTTGATCTTCGTTCAGCACTATTCACTACACAGGATGAAATCGATCAATTGATGGAGCAACCTGGCCATAGGTTGGCAAAAGTGGTGAAGTTCTACTGGCCATATTCGGCAGGCTACCTTTTCTGTGGGAAATGTTTGTTACTGTACTGCGCACATACTCCAGCTTTCAGTGACCACAGTCTCTCAATGGATAAAACGTTGCCCCTGAGCCACCTCACGTCGCTGAAGAAGCCGTTGGCTCCTGAGACTATCAAAGAACATGGTTCCCTTGCTGGTTGCTGTGATGCAGCAATACTGAGGTGACACCGATAAAATAACACATTTTCTTAGGGATGGTCTCGACAATCGATTTCAAGTGAAACTGGTGATGGCTCATTACTTGGTTTGCCACATTACTTCTGTGAGCAGAAAAAAATTGCCGGCAGGTTTCTTTGACAGGGTCAGCGACTTAGCAATCGCATGAGCTTCTCTCCTTTTGCTCCAGTTTTGAAGCCACAAAAGTTTGAAAGCATTGCATGAAGCCAACAAATCCTAAATGGCCATCAAGTCGGCACCCTGGCCGTTGCTTTGGATGCCCCGTAAGGGGATGCTCAGCCCATACAAGTTTTTCTCACATCCAATCTAGTCAAAAACTTTAGACTTGATCACTCATCATATCAACCATACCCACATTCACCAAACCCACAACAACCAGACCGACCAATTTTGATTTTTTGTTTTAAAATTATCCATTGATATCCCAAGGTTTCACCTCTGGCTTGGCTCCTGTGATGTCACCACGACCACTGGTGGTTGGCACCTGGACATAAGGAATGCTGTGATGCGGCGGTGATCATCTCACTTGCCGAGATGA